AGGAAAATTAATGTTTCAGCAATATAAAAATCCAAAGCATGCACAGGTCCAATCTGTTAACTAAAAGACTCTACTGTGCATCTAAAACAAAAATTGGAAACATGTTATAACTCATTAAATTGCCATATTAGAACAAGCAAGTAATTTCCTATCCTTAATCTACATAATTGCAGAATGGGTTTATTAATTCAACAATTATATTCCCGAGTGTGCACAGATCAAATTTATTAATTAAATGACCCTAACATGCATTTAAAACAAGATTAAAATCATGTTATAATTACTTAAGTCACCCATTTAAAAATTTAACAACTACTTCCCTTCCAACCGTTAACAGTATGTGAATTGTCTAATTTTCACACTGATCATTCCCTTCCTATAATAGGCTAACTTATGCAATTAGAGAGCTTAAGATCTCTTGAAATTACTTTTAAAATTGTTAGTTCACTCCCAAAAACAATTTAGAACTCCAAACATAACCCAAACAGTTCCCAGATAGCTCCAGATTGCAACCAAACGTAACCTAACCAAAGAGCCTTCTCTTGAAAATCATAGAGCAGGCTCTTTACACCATGGAGCCTGCTCTATAAAAACTTAGAGCCTTCTCTAGAAACTTAGAGCCTGCTCTTAAAGGCTTAGAGCCTCCTCTGTCCAGTTTTGCTCCGTTTCGCCTTTCAGCTTCGTCTCCGGCTATTCCCAACCTTCGGTTCATCTTTAATACTGAGTTTAAGAATCCTATTTACACCCAAAATCATCCCCATGACTGGTTTTATAATCCGTCAATCACTGAATTAAACTACGCAATTTAACTTTCCTCCAACCATTAACAGTACTGAAAAGTTGTCTATTTTCCTACTGTTTAACACTTTAGCGTAAATGTATGAACTATGCAATAAGAGGTTTAAATACACTTGAAGTTTAAATTAAGAACCCAAATGCCCTCACAACACAATTCGAAAGAATTAAAATCATCCAAACGGTGCCCAGAAAATCAGAAAACACTAAAATACGTCAAAATAGGAGAGAACCTTCTCTAAAATGCAAGAGCAGGCTCTTGCAAGCATGGAGCCGGCTCCATGCCTTCTTGGAGCCGGCTCTTGAATGATGGGAGCCGGCTCTTCAATCCCCAGAGCCGGCTCTTTATCCCTCTGAGCCTCTGTTCTCCTCCAGCTACGTTTTTTCGACCATCTGCTTCAGCACCGGCCACTTCCACTCCCTTTGTTGGTTTTCAAAATTGTTCCTAGGAGTCCTAAGTATATCTAAAACCATCCCAAATCCTTACTTAAGTCAATTTGCATCAAATTAAAACTTAAAACATTTACAGATCCAACATGCTTAGAAAGAGCAAGCACTGCAACCAAACCAAACTTGCATGAACTGTAACAAAATTAATTCACGCCTACATACAGATAATTGATTAAACAAATACTAAGCATCTAAGATTCAATTTATTAGTCCATTAAAGCCCTAGAGACTATCTACAGATGCACAGAACACAGGCAACATGAGAGAGAAAGGAAAGAACTTGCCTTTGCGGTTTTGGAATCAAAACCTTGTTGCCGTCTTCCTAGGTTTTTTCCCGGCGATCATGACTGCCGTCAAGCCTCCTACTGCTCAACCTTCCCTTCTCCTATGACCAATCCTTTATCCATAGTTGAAACCCTCACCAAAGATGGTCTGTTATTGTCTCACAATTTACGCTCTGTTCCTCTCTATCTCTCTGGTACGTGAAAAAGGTTTACATATTTTTTTTTTTAAAACCCTAAGTCAACATAATGATATATTTATAGGTTTAGAAAAACGAAAACCCTAATTCTAATTTTAATCCGAGAAAGAAAAACAACCATAAAAGTTATAATGTAAGTCGGCTAAAAACGTGAGAATATATGCAACCCTAAAATTATAACCTATATTAAATTATGATTAATACCTCAAGTTTAATTATTAATAAATACCAATAATTAAAACTAACTCTATATACATTTATACCCATATATATACATGTATATACTTCCATGGGTAAAACGGTACCCATTTACACTATCCAAATAGTCCGTTAATCATATCCAAGCCCAAGTTCGATTAAAAATAAAATAAAATAAAAACAATACATTTAATTTAACATTCAAATGCCACTTCATCACGCACACTTATAATTAAATAGTTAATTCATTTAAACAACAAAACAGGAAGCCACGTAACAAAAGTCATAAAAACACCTAAGAATAATAAAATAAAAAAAATAAAATTCCAATTATGTCCTTTTTAAATTTAGGGGTATTACAAATAGTGTCACAAAAGTGAAAATGTGAAAATGACTCGATCCTCAAAGGAAGTCGTCAATCCAAAGGAAAAAGTATCAGAAACCATTTCCGAGCACTCAAGATGACACAAAGAGACGAGAAACAGAACACAGAAAAAAGGGAAAGACAACGGAAAAAAATTATCCGTAAAATTTTAGAAAAAAAAGAAAGGAAGAAAAATGACCATGTCATTATAATATCCAAGTATGAGCAATGATGTGAACAACATAAATCAAAACATGATTCAAAAGTTCAAAAATTATCAATAAGTATCAATTCCTAAACATACAAGGTATAAAAATATACTAAATATGATTAAATATGCAATACAATTCCTAAATTCCATATAATCAACATCATTGCTAAAAACACGTGCTCTAAACTCATATTATTTAAGCTCAAAAAAATTAAAAGTTTTTAAAAAAGTGTGCAATCAATCAACCAAATTACAATTACATTCTTACTTCTAAACTTGAACCACACATTGTTCTCAATATGCAATAAGAATAAAAATAAAAGAAGGGTTAGAACAATATTACCATAGCAGTAATGAATGTCATGGAATGCAAACCATCAAAGTCATAGGAAATAGTCAAGCAAGATGGTCTCCCTAAAACTTGAATACAACAACCTGTCAAAGAAAACAATTAGACACTAGGGATGGCCACGGATCGGATCGGATCGGATTAAGCATAAATCCTAATCTGATCCGCTCGTAACGGATTGGAAGATTTTGAATCCGTCACCAATCCATTAGCCCACGGATCGGATCCAATCCGCGGATCTCATCTTTCATCTCCATCTCCATTTTCTTCTCCGATCTCCTCTTAGGGTTCATGTGGTTACGCAGTCTTTTCACATGCGTCTAATCCACCGTCAGGAGTTCTCAGAAAACCTCGACAGAGCACTCACGAGCAAGAAAGATTTTCCGAGGTTGGACATGTTTATATGCGCAGATCCATACAAAGAGCCACCCACCAACTAATTGGGTCATTCTTTCTTCTTCGACTCTCTCTCATCATCATCATCATCATCAACAAATAAAACCCAGACCTTTCTATCATGTTGATTTTCTTCTTCAAATCATTCTCGATCTCATCGATTCATCATCAACAAGAACAAGAACAATCAGTTATTGGTAGTCTCTGATTTCTTCGGTCACAACTGAACCCTAAATCCAAAAGATATTCAAACAAATTTGACTGACTCTTCACTGGCCATGCGACCTTGGTTCGCTGTAATCTCCCTCTCTCGAGAGGACTTGTTCAATTCCAAGCAACACTATGGTCTCCAGATGCTTATTTCAGATCCAACTATCCCAAGTGTTCTAACACTGAAAAGATGAAGCTAATAGCTAGGCTAATAGCTATGTGGGTTTAATAAATTGTTTTTTTGATTTCTCTTTTCTGTACAAATCTGTCTCCCAAAGTAATAAATAATAAATAATATTAATATTATATATATATATATACACAGATTGGCCACGGATCCGACGAATCGGATCGAATTTTTGACAGGGTAATCCGTAATCCGATCCATGAACTAATGGATTCACATTTTTTGAATCCACCATCGATCCGTGGGTTTAACAATCCAATCTGATTCGTATGGATTGAATCGGATTCGCGAATTTATAGATTTTTTGCCCAACCCCTATTAGACACCCGTGAGAATGAATAAGTCCCCAAAAGGTATGGACTAATAAACAGTACACACACTCACATTATCGCATACATCGCACAGATTTTTCCTCGTAAAACCGTTCCCGCCCAAATCCCTTAAATGATTCCTGAAACTGGTTTAAACAGACCCGCCCCGTGGATAAATTGCCATCCGTATCAGGGAGTCACATGAACACATGCACGCACGCACGCCCCTCAGTCTAGGGATGTCAATTTTTACCCCCCCGCCGGAGCCCCGCCTCGTCCCGCCCTGTTAATAACGGATATGAGAACACTTTTTATACCGTTGGGGCGGGCATGGATATAAATTTTGTATTCGTCGCGGGTCATGGGGCGGGTAAGGGTTCAGTATACATATCCTAAGGGCCCCGCCCAGCTCCGCTAAGCATATAACTATATTTTATATATATATATATATATATATATATATATATATATATATATATATAATATTAATAACTTATTTTAGCGGCTTACCCAGTTATCTATCTCTTACAATTCTAATTTGGGATGTAAACTTGGTACTAAATTTGCTTTTGTTTTGGTTATGGTAGAAGTTGGAGCTTAAAACTTCTTGTAATTTGGTTGTATTAAACTTTTATTTTTGTTTATTATGTTCTCTGAATTATGTTATGTGCATGTTATTTTTTTATTTTTGTTAGGATACATAATTTCATTTATGTTGTGCCATTCTCAGACTTTTCACATTTAAATAATAGGAGCTTAAGTTTCAAAAAGTGGAAGAAAAAAATTTGATAGCAGGGCGAGCATGGGGGCACAGTATTTTCCAACGGGGTGGGATTGGACATGAAAATTCAACTCGTCGCAGATCTCGGGACGGACATGGACTTGACAAAAATTAAAAGGGCTTGACAAAAATTAAAAGGGGAGGGGCGGGGCGGAATTCGGAAACCGCTCCAAACCCGCCCCGTTGCCATACCTACCCCAGTCCCACTGATCAAGCACCACTATAAATGCGGCAAAGGCCTAGAAAGCACTCTCTCCTCATCGGAAATCTCTCTCTCTATATACTGTCTTCTCATCACGAAAATCTCCCTCTTATCACAAGGCTGTAGTAACGCACGCACAATGGATCGAGGTAAGAGAAAGTTGAACTCACCCCATTCAGATTCCGTCAAACTATTTCATGTCGATCACGCTCGTTCTGGTAAGCAATCTTTCTTACACACTCAAAGTGTAATTTAGTTTTCAGTAGTATGGGTTTTTATTGGCTTTAGAGAATTAAACTGTGCTGTTTTCAATATTTTTCTTTTTCCTTAGGGATTGTATTCTTTTTTCTTGATGGGTTGGGTTTAGTTGGGTCTTGTTGTTGAATTATGTTCCTTCTTTCGATGCGTTCAAACAAAAGATGTTGATTGTCAATTATGTTTTTGAAGTTTGCGCTGCTGTGAACAAAAAATTGTTGTTTTGACCCTTCTGCATTAATTGCCTTGTTCTTGGCTCTTTAATATGGATTGATATTAATTAGGCCCATGTTCTTGAATTGGATTTGATTTCTGAATTCTTGTATAGAAAAATTATTATTTATCCTTTTATATTTTTCCTTTTCTTTTTGTTTGTTGATGGGTGATAAACGATTTTGAATTTTTGAGGGAAATGCATTAGTTTGATGGTTTATGTGTATATGTTATTTTTTTATTTTTTGGTTATCCAATATTACTCTTTAATCTGTTTCTATTTTGAATTCTTGCAAAGAAAGATATGGAAGTCAATAGAAGTTTTTAAGTTTGGATTTTCGATGATAAAATGCTGATATTGTCATTAATGTGAGCATAATTTTCTTTTGGTTCTTTGATATGGGTCTCTCCTTTTGAGGTTGAATATTTGAAAGGGTCTGAAGGTAGGGTATAAATTGGTGGGGGTGGTTTTGAATTTTGATTCTTTTTTTTTCCCTTTCAAAATACATTTATGATTTTCAGAACTCTGCTACATACCATTCTTCTGGATCTTAACCAGAGATAAAATAGATAAGGAAACTACCAAAAAAAACTTAGTGGAGGAGATTAGGAGAATAGAGGCCCAAGCTTTCCCCTCTTTGATGCATCATAGCTTCAGGTGTCTTGAGGAATGGTATTAGTTTTGTGCTCATTGATGGTGCATAGGTGGTAAATAAGGCTGGCTTTAGACTTTCATTAGGGAATGATAGATGATTAATACAATTTGCCATTGCTTTTTGTCTAGATGTCTTGACTTTGTGAGAATCAGATGACTGTTTATTCTTGAAACTACAAAGTACATGGCCAGTCAACTGAAGGCCTATGGTTGTCCAGATGTTATATGTTATGAAGAGAAGATAAGCTGGAGACTATTTATAAGTAACATTGCTTTTGACTGTTGGAGAAAGTTGGTGGACTGAAAGTTAACACATTCTGAAACTATAATTTACCTGCAAAACTGGTGGCCTCTCTTAGTTATTATAGTTATCAGAGCATTGTATTAAGTTCTTTACAATGTGCAGAAGCCTCTTTCAGGTGCTTTATTTCTTTTGCTTCGCAGGATGCTCATTAGTGAGAGTTGAATTATGCTTTAAGTTTTGTGTAAATGTGTTTGTGTTGAGTATGAAAATCTAATACTGTACAAGTTCTATATGATGAAAATGTTTTTAATGGCTAATGATTTGTTTATATATATGTATAAATAAATTTTGTTGTTGTGTTGAGTATGAAAATCTAATACTGTACAAGGTCTATATGATGAAGATGTTGTTTTAATGGCTAATGATTTGTTTATATATATGTATAAATATATTTTGTTTTTCCTCTCGCCTTTTTGGCAAGCCCAACATGGATCTTATCAACTTCCTGAGACTTTTGTAGAATTGCTATTACTTTATCAGAACCCTATTCTTGAAATTTCTGAACTGTCCCTAATATGATGATGTTTCCAAATTGCACTTGTAGCTTTATTTTATCTGATAAACTGTCATGGATGGTTTACAAGGGCTAGAAATGGGGAAGATCCATACAGTTTTCGAACCAACCTTATTGCACAAATATTATTTAGTGACCTCAAAACCCTAAGCCAACTTTCTTGGTGAACATTGGTTTAGGTTTTAGCTAAATGGATAAGCGATTCACTATTATGTAATACTATCATCAAACTAAGTTAATGATTATGGTACCACAAAGCCAACTATCAATTTTTTGCTGGTTCTCAAAGAAGAGAATATAAAAGAAACGTGGTTGGAATAAGGCAAGTAATCAGTCCCTAACATGCTGATGTCTAACAGCTAACTAGGAATGGAATGGTCTTTTAGTACTGCTATCAAGAGTTTAAAATGTTTTTTTGGCACCTGCTATAAGGATGTAAAGTAGTAGTCCCTTAGGCTTTTGGGTTGATTTGGAAATTTTTTAGCGAAGCTTGTGTCTGGAAGGTAAACTTCGTTCAAATAATTCTTTGAGACAGGATGATGCTGTTAGTTCTTTTTGCTTCATACTTTTGTTAACATTTCCTGTCATAATCTGTCTATAGTTTCATTAACTTCCTCTATGATTCCACTGACAATATAGCTGATGCTTTTACAGGTAACTGGAGAAGTTTCATACCGATTGGAGTCAGGTTTAATCCGGAAGAGTGGGAACTCTTCCTCTACCTCCGCTTGAAGGTAGAGGGGGATCCTATTCCTCCGGAAACAATAAGAGAACTGGACATATATCAATATAGTCCCTATCAACTTAGAGCCCTCTACGGGGATGGGGATGAAAACAAAATGTTTTTCTTGACCCCGATACATAAGCTGGGGACAAGAACTCAGAGAGAAGCTTGCCAGTATGGAACCTGGCGAAAGATGGGGAATATATCATTTACAGATGGCTCAGCAACTATTGGATGCAAAGGTGCATTTAGTTTTGAGTGGAAAGCAAATGCTGGGCAGGGAAAATTTCTGATGAAAGAGTACCTCATTGAAGGAGTAAGTGAATGGGCGTTATGTGAAGTTCATCCTGTAGAGCAGTCCAATAAACAAAATACAGACTTGGTATTTGATAACTGGTTCGGGGAGAAAACATCTTTGAAATTAAGGGATGATCTTGAGTTTTCACTTCCCTTCCTTCTCCTAAAATAACACTGCATGGGCAAGACATGGAGGTCTTGGCTTTACCTGCTCCAACTGTAGCCAAAGCCCACTTTTGTTCAGTTGAGGGCTGTGCTGTGAAAATGTGTGCCCCTTCAAGTGCAACATTGAAAGACAAAACCAATTTTTCTTCAGCTGAGGGAGGGCGTGCCATTTATGAAAATTTGAGGAAGTGTGTTTCTTTTCCTGGGGTGGCTGGTTTTGTGGAACCGTTCTGTGCTCTAGCTCACTCATTGTCCAAGTAAGTTACTAAAACTCAGGTTCTAGTGTTTTTCTTTAGTTTTTTTTAACCCAATTTATGACAAAGAAATGTAATGTGGATTAAATTGCTTTCCATTGTCCTGTTAGTGACAGTGAAGATGATGGTACGGCCGAATTCAGACAATGCATCCGTCTACTTGCTGATAAAGTTGATGTCCTGCGGAGAGACTATGAACAGCTCAAAAAGGTTTTAGAAGAAAAAGAAAGAGTTGGTAAAGACTATGTACATGAAGCATCAGCTTGAGAAGCAGGTAAGTTACTCAGGTTGTTTTATGGTATTAATGACTTTTGGAAGTATCATGTCATAAGTATATTGTTGGAGTGGATATTGCTCAAATTACCTTTATCCATCCTAATCATGTTGGGAGGAATTCTTGTGCTATATGTTTCTGGCATACCAAAAATGTGAGGGACATACTGGAAGTTCTGCCTAGTTGTAGGCTTGCTTATACAAAATCAACTCGCCTCTTTTACTGTATTTGATGTATATTTGTATGAATGAAGTTAAAATTACTCATTGTATCTGTATAAAATGTGGATGCTTGTGACTCATTTAAATGTGAAGACATGCATCTAATTTCTTTATTTTTTATAATGATTTTGTTACAGACAAACGGAGAAAGGATATCTTTTGACCGCTTGCAAATAGATGACATCGCTGCATTTGTTGTGAATTCAGCGAAGCTATCAATCAACATTGCCCCAATTATTATATGTCAAAGGAATGCATTGCATTATTTTCGGAGCATCTTCCCAAGAAACCTACCTATATCATTGGGAAAATAGTCAAAAGATTGAACGACAAACTGTTGGGGAGGGTAGCACAGATTTGTTGACGTTGAACGTGGGCTCAACTCTAAGTCTCCTTGTTGGGAGTGAGTACTTCCTTGTGACAGTTCGCCGACTTCTTCCTTAGAGATGCACCTAACAGAAGCTTAGATGCACCTAACAGAAGTGACTTGCCTCAAACTAAGTGGACAGCTATAACATAGATAGCTTTTCTGCAATGTTTGTCCTTGGTGAGGATCTAGTTGGTCTAAAATGTGAAACAAGGGTAGGGTGATCAGTTTTGGGGGATGAGAGCAGTATTAGTGTGGTTAAGACTACTTAAAAATGAACCATGAATGAAGAAAGCTTCTAACAGCTTTAACCAAGTCAAATTTAATGGTATCTCCAAGTTTCGACAGAAGAGTGGAGTCAGACCATTAGGACTACGTAAGGTATGGGGCTGCATATCAAAAACTCCTCAACCAAGGTTGTGAAATTCTTTAGTACCCATGCACAGTAGTCATCCACCAATCTTCTCACTGTGATGAATAATAAGAAGAAGGTCATTAGAGTCACCAAAAATGAGCCATTTTTCACCCGAGTCCTCCTTTCTTGCTCTAAATAGTTCCATTGTTCAGCTCTCACTTGTGATATTCGTACCATACACAACTGTAAGAATCTAGTTCCCTCTTCTGTTGTCCTTCACCTCCAAGGTAACTTCGAAGTCACATTAATTTGTCAATCACACCGAAAATGTTGGAATCTTAATTTTCCACATAACACTTTATACCACCTGCTCTCAGACCATTCTCCTTGATTGCTAACTGAAACAAGATTCAACCCACTTTAAACATTTTTCCAATACAATTAAAAAGTACTTTTTCATTTAGGTAGGTTCTTATGTTTTGAGGTAAAGATGTAAGTCGTCAACCAAATATCAAAAAAATAAAAATATATATTTTTTAAAAAATATTTTACATTACTCTTTTCATTAACTCCATGAAAATAAAATAAAAAATAAAAATCCAATCACTACGGTACCATTTTTCTGTGTAAAGAAGTGGATATATATAAAAAATTACTCTTTATCTGTGTGTAAAGAATTACAACCATTTTTCTTCCTCCTCTCAGCATGTTATATAAAAAAAAATTACAAATACTGTGCACGAATTAAAATTACAAATACTGAGCAGTGGAATAAAAACAAAGGCCATGGCTTTCGACAAGTTGGGCACGAATTATTCCTCCACAACCACCCAAAAATGCATCTGGTATGAAAAACATGGGAGCAAGATGTTCTAGTCATCTCCGTCTGAGCACTTAATTCATCAACACAAATCGAGCATTTATCACCGTCAATAAACTCCTCTTCCTCAGCGTGCAAGGGTTCAACTTCAACAAACCCTCTTGGTTCGTCAATCGCAACCGCTCTAGTCGGAAAATACCCCTTTTCGCCCAAAAATTCTCTTATAAGGGCCAAATAGAACGTCACGTCTGAACTGTAACTATCACTCGGGTCATCCTCTGCTTCCTCGGTATCGTAATCTACCTCGTAATCTGAATACCCCGACGAGTCAGAATCCGGGTCGTAGTCGGTGTCGTAGTCGTATCCCCGCGTACATGGAATCGGAGGCAACATCGGCGCTGTAGGCGAAAGATTGAGATCGATGTCGGTGTGATCAACGGTTCGGATTCGATAAATCTCGGCCACAATCACAATTTTGGGCAAATTAGGGCCCAGACAATTCTGGGGGCAAAAATTAAAATTTTTTAGAAGATAGTCTGAGATTTCATAGCCTAAAGGTACGATGGTCTCCGGTAAGAACTGTTTGGTGGCGGAGGGAACGGTGTGAGGCAGTGACTTGATCGAATCGTGAGAGAGCAACCCCGTGAGATCGAATCGGATTGCTCTCTTCAACCTCTTCTCTTCGACTTCGATATCTGTATGACCATTGTTAGGATTGATGGTAGTGAATTTGCTGGTGATCAAATAGACCAATAGACCTTCAGACTCGGAGATTCGGTTCTTCCGAAGCTTTTCGTTCCACCGGAACACACGCAATCTTCTGCTATGAGCTTCTTCCTTCACAATCACCATCTCTATCTACTCTCTCCCCCACCGTATCTATTTAATAACATATGACAGAACAACATAGGCAATTGAGTTGAGAATTATAGTCGGTGAAAGTTGAAACAGGGGGCTTATTATCTGTCCCAGATAAATAGGGTAATGCTATTCCAACTTACAAGACAACTAGGTGTCACGGGCCTAGAGATTTGGCGCAGCAACACGGCCTGTGCGGCACCAAGGCGTTGTTTCAGCTCGCGCAAGTCCCCTGGTCAGCTACCACGACCTGCCCTCCCAAGGATACATGCTGACTGGTTTCGGCCTGCCATGGCCTCGTCAGGGGAATGGCTCCAGCTCCCGACCAGTTTGTGCAGGGATGGCCAACTCCCTTCTTCATAGTCAAGTCCAAGACCAGCGACAAGCACCTCGAACTGAACCGAGTCGACCTACCTGAACTCTAAAGAGGTACCATCCTGTGGTCCTGCACGCCCCTTCCCTGGAACCATTCCCAGTCAATGAATGTTCTTAGCCAACCAGCATGCGTGTCTTCTATGCTCATGGCGTCGTTAGGAATCGGATTGTGACATTCTCCCCCACCCAAATCCTGCGACGCCCTCGTCGCAGTGCGGCGCTGACTCCGCTGCGTCCAACATTCCAAAGTCTCTCTCCTCCAAGTGGTATGCCCGCCTGCCCACCATCGCTTCCTTGTACAACCCCTGGCTGCACTCGCCCAATGATAGGGTTTCGGGCTAAAGGGACGCCCACTTCTTCGGGACGCAACCCCACGTTATGCCGCCTCCGCGACACCCCGAGCAAACAAGCGCCCTCCGGCTGACTTGATACCCGCCCTTCACAATGGTTTGCACGCCTCTTGAACTTGCAAGAACTTTGGTGCGCGCGGCCCTCCGGCCTAAAGGACGCATCTTCATGGGGAGATGGAGGCTCTCCTCCAACAGCATTGATTGCCCACCGACATTTTTTCAGTGCACCGTCTTCATTCTCAAGACCCCCGGATCGACAAGGGGGCACACCTCTGTGCTTTTCCCCAAGTCCTGCTCTGATACCATTTGTCACGGGCCTAGAGATTTGGCGCAGCGGCACGGCCCGTGCGGCACCAAGGCGTTGCTTCAGCTCGCGCAAGCGCCCTGGTCAGCCACCACGACCTGCCCTCCCAAGGATACATGATGACTGGTTTCGGCCTGCCATGGCCTCGTTAGGGGAACGGCTCCAGCTCCCGACCAGTTTGTGCAGGGATGGCCAACTCCCTTCTTCATAGTCAAGTCCAAGACCAGCGATAAGCACCTCGAACTGAACCGAGTCGACCTGCCTGAACTCTGAAGAGGTACCATCCTGTGGTCCTGCACGCCCCTTCCCTGGAACCATTCCCAGTCAATGAATGTTCTTAGCCAACCAGCATGCGTGTCTTCTATGCTCATGGCGTCGTTAGGAATCGGATCGTGACATATGGCTCCAAATTCCTTGGAGGTATAGATTAAACCCAAGTTGGGCATATAAAATATTCAACCCGAGTTCAATTTTAACCCTACTTTCTCCCGGAATCCAAGTTCCAACTATCTTTTTACATTTTTTTGTTTCTTTGAATGTAAAATATTTTAATTTTAATTTTATGCTGTTTAGTTATTGTAAAATATTTATGAAGAAAAAAAAAATTAAAACTTAACAAAAATAATTTACTCATCACTTCTTGGCAAGTTATTTTACAAGTTCCACCGATGGATAGGGATGACAATGGGGCGAAGTTGGGACAGGTTTGGGCCGTTTGGCTAAACTTTATTCCGCCCGTTAGAAAATTCGTCATACCAACTCTGTCCCTATTCCAAGACGGGTTTATAATTAGTATATCATCCTTGCCCCTACTTCGGTAGATAACATTTCGTGTCAAGTAACAAGGTCTTAAAAATATTAAATATATATTTTATATATAATTTTAAAAAAAATTAAAGATACATATATAATTGGGGCGGGTTCATCACTAAATCCGCTCCCGCACCAAACCCGCTTCGAATTTTCATTTATTTTATCATACCCATCCCAAACCTATTTAAGGTGCTGCCAAATCTGCCTCATTAGAAGCGGGGTCGGCGAAAATCCATACCAATGGACTTGACCTTAGCTTTGACCTAAACCTTTGCCAACCAAATAAAAATTAAAAAAATATTTTACGTAAAAAAGAAAAAAAGAAAATATTTTTTGTTGAAACAAACAAAGCCTTAAACTTGGATTCGAAAGTCCACTTAATTTGAGTTACCCATATGAGCCAATTTCCACATTAAAAACTTAATGTGATATTTAATTAATTTTTGGTTGAATTACTCTTAAACAAAAAATTTATAACAAATTTTTAGTAAATTACAAATAAATTTTAAAAAAATTAATTCTCCAAAATATTAACTTACAATAAATTAATATTTAACAAAGTAAGTTCAATAGAAAACAGGTGATCATAATTTAAATATTATATAGAATGCATTTCAAATAAAAATAATATAAAAATAATATTAGAATGCGGTTTAGGTTGGGTTTAGGTTTCTAACACCTTCAACTAAAGTCCAACCTTAATTAAATTCGAGTTGAGATTTTCAATTCAAGTCAACCCTAATTGTTAAAGAAATTGCCCAAGTCTTTACAAAATCGAGGTAGGCTTAAGTTGAGTTTGTGTTGCCTAACCCAAATTGCATCCCTAATGACTTGGGTTCTCATATAATAG